AGTAGTCGTCCACCACCAACAGGAAGTAGCGCTCGTGACCCTGTCCACGGACGCGGGCAGGGCCCCACACGTCCATGTGAAGTGTCTGCAACGGAGCCTCTGTCGGAGGAAACTGGGAGGAGTGAGGGGCAGCACGCAGGCGCCCCTCGACACAGGGGACACAGGGAGGGCCAGGGCCCTGAGGAAGGGGAGGGAGAGACCGGGGGAGACCAGACACAAGAAGACGGGAGGCCAGGCCTCTGAGCCGAAGCAGAGAGGGGTGGCCAAGGCGGTGGTGCCAAAGGAGAGTCTCGTGAGACAGACGGTGACACAAACAGGGGGCAGACTCAGGACCAGACCTGGACGCTGCAGCAAACACCTGACCAGACGAAGGGACTCTACTACACTCAGCACCGGGAGGAGAAGCAGTGGTCAGTGTGTACAGGCTCGACCCTGGCTGACGTGTAAACGTAGCCAGGTGGCGACCTGTGCTAGCCTCTGTGCAATGTGTCACCCGCTGACGAGCAGGAGTGAACTGGTGGACACCCACATCCTGTAGGTCAGCACCACTCACCAGGTTCGTAGAGAACGAGGGGAGGTAAAGACCAGTCAGGGTGCCAGAGGGAGCCGCCGGACACGGGAGGACTGTGGAGAAACGAGACAGGATAGGACCCCCAGAGGGGTCAGCCAGGGACACCGCAACAGGCCGACTAAGCGGCGTGAGAGTGGTGCGGTCCCGAAAGAAGGAGCGAGACGCCCCAGAGTCAAGGGTGAAGGTGTGAGAGGCAGAAGCCGACACAGTACCTGAGAGGGCAGACTCACCAGTACCTGAGAGCACATACGCACTGGCACCTAGAGAAGCAGCCTCACTGGCAACTGACGCAGCAGTACCAATGCCTGGGTCGGGCGGGAAACACCGGGAACAGTCACCATCATCACTAACAGACACAGCATACATGGCAGCAAGGATAGCATCAAAGTCAAGATCAAAAACAGCTACACCAGCCCTGGACAGCTCTCCCCAGCGGGGGATCTCAGAGGCCTCCGGAAACTGCTGGCGCCAAGCGTCGGTGAAGCGGGCAAAGCAGCGACGAGCGGTGTGGGTGCCCCCACACTGCTCACCCGCGCGGTCGCCGGTGCGAAGGACGTAGGTGCAGGGACCGAACGCCCCACCACGCTGACGCTGCGAGTACCACTCACGGAGCTGCTGAGGGGCGGGGACGTCGCGAGAGCGCTACTGCTGCTGCTGCTGCTGGCGCTGACCACCCCCAGTGCCACCCCGCTGGGACGAGCCACTCTGACCACCTCCACCACCGCCACCTCCGCCTCCGCCGCCACCGCCGCCACCGCTACCCTCGCCCCCGCCGCTCCCAGTGCCACCTCCGCCACCACCTCCGCTGCCACCTCCACCTCCACTGCCGCCACCAGTACCTCCACTCCCGGCTCCACCCCCACCGCCACCCCCACTCCCCCTGCCGCCCCCACCTCCTCCGCCACCGCCCCCGCTAGCTCCACCCGCTCCCTTGCCCCCCTTGCCCCTGCCAGAGCGGCGCCTACCGCTGGGGGCAGACGCCGCACCGACCGACTCTAAACCAACGAGGTCGGCCGCAGCAGCAGAGGCGACAGAGGGTAACAGGGGGGAAGGAGAACACCCCTCAAAGATGGGGGTGCGCGGGTCACCACGAGAGGCCCCTACAGCGACTATGCTCTTCTCGGCCGCTAGCAGGGACTTCTCGAGGAGGTCGACAGTGAGGGTGGTGGGACAGACAGAGAGAAACTGGTCCCTAAACCCTAACAGCACGAAGGGACTCGGGTTGACGGGTGACTAGAAAGTAGAGGGTGATGTACATGGGAGGGGGGTTTTCAGAGAGGAAGGCAGCAGGAAGCGCAGCTCGGTAGCGAGTGTCACTAGCGCGAAGGTGGGTAAAGAGGTCAGTGACTGTGGGAAAGTCAGCAAGGTCAGGGAAGAGGTACGGTAGCATGAGGTGGCTCAGTGTAGCAGTGGAAGGGGAGGAGTAGCGCGCAACTACAGCGTCGTACAAGGCCTGAGCGGTCTTGCACTGACTAAAGTGTGCACGCTCGGAGGAAGGGAGGTGGCGACGCACAGCAAGACGTGCAGCAGCATCGCGTGTGGCCCACTTGGAGCGAACAGTGGGGTCAGCATCAGCAGGAGGGGCAGGGACAGCGCCAGAGACAAAGTCAAAGAGAGAAACCTCATCGATCGCATCGCACAGTAAGTACAGCTGCAGGTCCTCAATCCAGACTGCAAAGTCGATGGCGCGACCCTCAGCGTCAAAAGTCAGGACACTGGGGGTGGCCATTGTAGCAGCTGACAGTCTTACCGGGCAGGAAGAGTCGGGTAGCACAGCGGCACAGCAACACGACAGTACAGCAGCTGCGCCGGCCCAGGAGCAGTGGGAGCCCCACAGGAGCAGAAGATCGGCTCCTCGGGCGGCTCGGGCGGCTCGGGCGGCTCGGGCGGCTCGGGCGGCTCGGGCGGCGTGGGCGTCTCGCGGGCGGCTCGCGGGCGGCTCGCAGGCGGCTCGCGGGCGGCTCACAGGCGGCAGCACGGGCGGCTGGTGCGGCTCGTGGACAGCTGCACGGGCGGCTGGGGCGGCGAGCGGGCGGCTCACGGGCGGCTGCACGGGCGGCCGAGGCGGCTCACGGGCGACTGGGGCGGCTGCACGGGCTGCTGGGGCGGCTCGCAGGCTGCTCACGGGCGGCTGCACTGGCGGCCGCACGGGTAGGTACACGGGCGGGTGCACGGGCGGCCGCACGGGTAGGTGTACGGGCAGGTGCACGGGCGGGTACACGGGGCGGGTGCGCGAGCGGGCACACGGGCGGCTGCACGGGCTGCTCGTCGGGCGGCGCTAGGGCGGCGCGTGGGCGGCGCGTTGGGCAGCGCGACGGGCGGCGTTAGGGCGGGCAGCGGGCAGCGCTACGGGCAGCGCGTTGGGCAGTGATGAGGCTATCAACTCTGCGCAAACACGCTTCCTCAGCGTTTCAAACATTAAGACTACTGCCGCGTTTCACGGCAATGATTTTTACACAAGGAGTTTTGAGCTGGAGCTCCTCCTACAAATGGCGCATATCTACCATTACTTCGACGGCTCCTACCCTAAACTGGTGGAAAATGGGGAAATGCAAACAAGAATGAATGAACTATGAATGAAGTGAGTACAAGTACTAACCCTAATTGGGTTGTACCCCCTATGGGATACCCCACTATAGCCTACACAACACCATAAGCTATAATGTTCTGACACACCCCCATAGGCAAAGTGGGGGAGTACAGGGGGTCACAAGACCAGTCAAGCAAAGCAAAGCTCAGGGTGGATCACAAAGTCACCACACATTCTGAGCACAAGTTCAAGGCCACAAGGCCAGTTCACATGCAGGAGTATACATATATATATATATATGGCTAGACAAGCAAGAGCAGGTATATATATATATGTAACAGTACAAGCAAGGTCAAGAGGTGAGCAAGTGAGGCAAGACAGAGACAAGACCCAGCTGAGTGCAGAAGCGCTGATGATCACAAGGCGCAAGTGCCTTGGTGAAAACATCAGCAGTGTTGGCCTCAGAGGCCACGTACGCAAGCCGCAACTGTCCACGCTGCTGTAGCTCACGAGCAAGGAAGTAGCGGAGAGCAATGTGCTTTGTTCTGTGCTCCAGTCGCTACTCTCGACACAAGGCCAGCATAGCCTTGTTGTCTACGTACAGAACAGGAGGAGAACGAGGCGGCTCTCCAAGGTCGGTCAGCAGGTAGGTGAGCCAGCGAAGCTCCTGTGCAGCCATGGCCCCGGCGTAGATCTCAGCCTCACAACTGGAGCAGAGAACAGAAGACAAGAAAGTAGCCCGCCACGAGACAGAGCTGGAACCAAGACTGAAGGTGTAACCCTGTGACGACCGCTGTGTAGCCTGATCGTCAGCCCAGGAAGCGTCTGCGTGTCCAGTGAGGACCACTGGACTGCGCCCTCCAAGCACTAGCCCCATGCCCGACGTACTGCACAAGTAGCGCAACACCCTCTTCGCTGCAGCCATGTGCTCTGGTTGGTGTCTCCCAGGAGCAACATAGCGTGCGAGAATGCTAAGAGGGTATGCAAGGTCAGGTCGAGTGCAGGTCATCAGGTACATGAGGCAGCCAACAAGCTCTGGATACGAGCCACTCGCCTCTATGGACTCATCCGAAGGCAGAGCTGAGAGAGAGTGGCGAGTAGGCAGAGGAGTGGCCTGAGGCGAGGAGTACGAGAAGCCGAAGCGCTGAAGGACCTGCTGCACCATGTGTGACTGAGTCAGGGTAATGGTGCGCTGTGCTCTGTCCCGGGTGATCTGCAAGCCAAGGTAGCTACGCAGTTCACCCAGGTCTATGCACGTGTGTCTCTTCTGCAGCTCGTACTTCACGTAGGCAAGTCCAGCAGTGTCAGCAGTGGCAAAGACCAAGTCGTCGACGTACACGAGGATGTAGAAAGGCGGCAGAGAAGTGTCGGTGCGCAGAAACAGCGACGGGTCGGTAGTTGAAGGAACAAACCCAAGAGCCGCAAGTGTAGTCCTCAGTGTGTCGTGCCACTCACGGGGCGCCTGGCGGAGACCGTAAACTGGACGCCGGAGACTCCACTGGGTACCAGGAGGAAACGACCCAGTGAAGCCAGGTGGGCGACGCAGCCAGATCTCCTCGTGCAGGCTGCCCTGCAAGAAAGCTGTGCTGAAGTCGAGGGAGTGCAGCTCGTAGTCACGGTGAGCAGCAACGTGCAGCAGTACCCGAAGAGTAGTCATCTTCGGGGTAGGGGAGAAGGTCTGAAAGTAGTCAACTCCCTGCCGCTGACTGAAGCCACGAGCCACGTACCGTGCCTTGAAGACAGGCGGAGAACCCGGCGGCCGCTTCACCCTGAAAATCCACATGCCACTGACTATGATCGCCCCAGGAGGGGGAACAGCGTCAACGTAGGTGCCTGTGGACTTCCAGGAAGCCATCTCTGCATCCATAGCTGCCTGCCACTGAGAAGAGTAGGGACCTTCTATCGCCTCTGCGTAAGAGCGCGGAGTCGGGATGTCAAGTGCATCCGGGTCTCCCTCAGGGGTAAGCAGTACGAACACGAGATGAGGTGAAGCAGCTGCCAGACACTGGAACTCCTCCTGCCTGTCCTCAAGGACGTCCGTGCCAAGGGCACACTCACCCCCGACGGACGGAGGACAGACAGACTCAGCCTCATCGATAAGAATAGCAGCGTAGTCTAGGCGACAGCGAGCAGCAAAGTCGACGAGCTCAGCAACTAGGGCAGACGCAGCAGTGGACTCAAAGGAAGGGTCAGTGACGACAGTAGCAAGGAGACGCGTGACAGTAGGACTGGCAGCACGAAGAGAGTCCGACTCCGGGTTGACAAGAGTAGGAAGAGAGGACGCAGGAGGAGAAGGCAAAGGGGCACGCAGAGGAGCAGTGGACAGACGCAGAGACATCTGGTGCGTGCCAAGGACAGGAGGAGGACGCTGACGCGAACCGCGACCACTAGTGCGAGCAGCACAAACAGGCGACGCAGGACGAGACGCAGGCTCACGACGCTCAGCAAGACCTCCAGTAGGACCAGTGTAGGGAAAGGGAGCAGGTAGTGGGGAGGCAGGGTGTAACTGTAGCTGTGACGGGACAGGCTCTGGACACTCTAAAGAAGGAGGAAGACCTGTAGAAGGTGGAAGACCAAGAACCTGCTGCAGGAGTGGTACGAAGTACGGTCGAGGCCGTGCGGCGACGCCAGACACAGCAGGGACAGCACCAGTACACCCAGCAGGAGCACCCGCTCCAGCAGCACCTCCAGCAGCTCCAGAACCTCCAGCAGTACCAGTAGCACCCCCAGCAGGACCGCGAGCAGTAGGCTCAGCACCAACGCCCGCAGCAGCACCAGCTCCAGTCAAACCCGCAGGCCCAGCAGCTCCAGTACTCCCGGTACGAGCACCTCCGCGACCCGCGGCACGAGCACCCTCTACAGCCGAAGAACCTCCAGCTCCAGCAGCACGCCTCCAGCGCTGGGCAAACCACTCGCGCAGCTCCGGTGGAGAGAGTGGCTTCCGACGAGACAAAGCACCCAAAGGACCTCCAGGCATAGCACCCCCAGGCTCAGCACGCCCAGGCTCAGCACCCCCAGGCACACCACCCCCAGGCGTAGCACCCCCAGGCGTAGCACCCCCAGGCTCAGCACCCCCAGGCGCAGCACCTCCAGACTCAGCACCCCCAGGCTCAGCACCCCCAAGCTCAGCACCCCCAATCGCAACACCCTCAGACTCAGCACCCACAGCAGCACCAGAGTCACCTGTAACCTCGACAGGCTCGACTGCGTCTACCTGGGACACACCTGAAGGGGCAGGACCCTGAGGGGGGAGGGGGTCTACCGGGGGGGGACCTGGGACAAGGAAGAGCGGGGGCGGGGGTAGGGACGGAGTGCGGTAGGGGAAGAGGCGGTAGTAGGGGACCGACTCGTCAAACGTGACGTCCTGGGAGGACAGAACACGTCGAGAGGTGGGGTGGTAGAACTGCCACCCAGGTGCGTCAGGGGGGAACCCCAGGAAGACGCAAGGAGCAGCACGAGGGGACAGCTTGTCCGCACAAAAGTTGCGGACAAACGCCCGAGATCCCCAGATTCGGAACGCCGACGCATCGCCAACCTTCCCCGTCCACAGCAAGGCCGGAGAGGTCTCCGGCGTGGAGACTCTGGGGTGGAGGTTGATCTAATGCGCCGCGTACCTCACCGCAAACAGCCACAGAAAATGGGAAGCAGCCGCATGCATCATGGACGTACGAGCGACATCCATGACCATGCCAATGTGGCGCTCAGCAATCCCATTTTGCTGCGGAGAGTCCGGAAGCGTGAAGGTCTGACGGATGCCTCGTGCACGACAGTAGGCCCGCAGAAGGCCAGAGGAGAACTCTCCGCCTCTGTCCGAGTGCAGACGCAGAACAGGAAAGTCCGAGCCAAAGCTCTGCCTGAGCTGGAGACGAGCTGCGCGGATCCAGTCGATCATCACCTCAGTGACATCACCCTTGCTGCGCAAGTGGAAGACTACGGTGTAACGCGAGTAGTCGTCAACAACAAGCAGGAAGTAGCGCTCGTGACCCTGTCCACGGACGCGGGCGGGGCCCCACACGTCCATGTGAAGCGTCTGCAGCGGGGCCTCTGTCGGAGGAAACTGGGAGGAGTGAGGGGCAGCCCTCTGGCGCCCCTCGACACAGGGGACACAGGAAGGGCCAGGCCCCTGAGGAAGAGGAGGGAGGGACCTGGGGAGACAAGAAACAAGAAGACGGGAGGCCATGCCTCTGAGCCGAAGCAGAGAGGGGTGACCAAGGCGGTGGTGCCAGAGGAGAGTCTCGTGAGAGAGGAGACGACACGAACAGGGGGCAGATACAGGACCAGACCTGGACGCTGCAGCAAACACCTGACCTGACGCAGACACCCTACCAGACTCAGCAACTGGAGGAGACGCAGTGGTCAGTGTGTACAGGCTTGACCCCGGCTGACGTGTAAACATAGCCAGGTGTCGGCCTGTGCGAGCTTCTGTGCAGTGCGTCACTCGCTGACGCGCAGGAGTGAACTGGTGCACTCCCCCATCATGTAGGTCAGCACCACTCACCAAGTTTGTAGAGAACGAGGGGAGGTAGAGACCAGACAGGGTGCTAGAGGGAGCCGCCGGACACAGGAGGACTGTGGAGAAGTGAGACAGGACAGGACCCCCAGAGGGGTCACCCAGAGACACCGCAACCGGCTGACTAAGCGGCGTAAGTGTGGTGCGGTCCCGAAAGGAGCGAGAAGCCCCAGAGTCAAGGGTGAAGGTGAGGGAGGCCGAAGCCGACGTAGTACCTGAGAGCGCAGACTCACCAGTACCTGAGGACGCAGACGCACTAGCACCTAAAGCAGCAGCGTCGCAAGCACCTAGGGCAGCAGCCGTCCCAGTATCTAGAGCAGCAGTCTCAATGCCCGGATCGGGCGGGAAACACCGGTAACAGTCACCCTCATCACTAATAGTCACAGAGTACATGGCAGACAAGATAGCATCAGAATCAAGATCATAGATGGCTACTCCCGCCCTAGACAGCTCGCCCCAGCGAGGGATCTTTGTTGCCTCAGGGAACTGGTGACGCCACGCGTCCGTCAGGCGGCCAAAGCAGCGCTGGGTGGGGTGCGCACCCCCACACTGCTCACCCGCACGGTCGCCGGTGCGCAGGACGTAGGTGCACGGACCAAAACTCCCACCCCGCTGGCATGCAGTGTACCACTCACGGAGCTGCTAAGGGGACAGGGTCTCACGACCACGCTACTGCTGCTGGCGCGGACCACCACCGGAGCCACTCCTCTGCGTAGACTCGCGACCAGCTCCTCCGCCTCCTCCGCCGCCTCCGCCACCACCGCCGCCGCCTCCGCTACCGCCGCCGCCTCCGCTCCCTCCGCCACTGCCGCCGCCTCCACCCCCACTGGCGCCACCGGTACCCCCACCTCCTCCACCACTCCCTCCACCACCCCCACTCCCTCCGCCGCCCCCACCGCCACCTCCACCGCCCCCGCCAGCTCCTCCAGCGCCCTTGCCCCCCTTGCCCCTGCCTGCGCGGCGCTTCCCCGAAGGGGCAGACGCAGCGCCGACCGACTCGAAACCAACGAGGTCAGCAGCAGCAGCAGCAGAAGTGACAGAGGGCAAGAGGGGGGAGGGAGAACACCCCTCAAAGACAGGGGTGCGGGGGTCACCACGAGAAGCTCCTACAGCGACTATGCTCTTCTCCGCCGCTAGGAGGGACTTCTCGAGGTGGTCAATGGTGAGGGTGGTGGGGCACACAGCTAGGAAGTGGTCCCTGACTACTCTAAGGGAGTCAGGGAGGCGGGTGACTATGAAGTAGAGGATGATGTAGATGGGGGGGGGGGGGTTCTTGGCGCAGAATTCAGGAGGAAGCGCAGCGCGGTAGCGAGTGTCACTAGTGCGGAGGTGCGTAATGAGATCAGCGACTGTGGGAAAGGCAGCAAGGTCAGGGAAGAGGTACGGCAGCATGAGACGGCTCAGTGCAGCAGTGGCAGGGGAGGAGTAGCGTGCAACTACAGCGTCGTACAAGGTCTGAGCACTCTTGTGCTGACTAAAGTGTGCACGCTCGGAGGTAGGGAGGTGGCGACGCACAGCAAGACGTGCAGCAGCATCGCGTGTGGCCCACTGGGAACGAACAGTGGCGTCAGCATCAGCAGCAGGGGCAGGGGACGCGCCAGAGGTGAGGTTAAAGAGAGAGAGACCGTCTGCCCTATCGCACTGTAAGAACAGCTGTAGGTCATCTACCCAGACCTCGAAGTCAATGGCCCTACCCTCAGCGTCAAAAGCTAGGACACTGGGGGTAGCCATGACGATAGTAGACTAGCAGTGCAAGCAGTAGGGTGAGGGCAGTGCAGTGAAAGAGGGACTGTGCTCACCAGACTGGGCAGCTCAGGGAGGTCGGAAGTAGGGCGGCTCGGCGGCTCAGCTGTGGAGCCGCTCAGCTGCTGGGCGGCTCGGCTGCAGGGCGGCTCGGCTGCTGGGCGGCTCGGCTGCAGGGCGGCTCGGCTGCTGGGTGGCTCGGCTGCTGGGCGGCTCAGCTGCTGGGCGGCTCGGCTGTTGGGCGGCCTTGCTGCTGAGCGGCGCGGAGGCTCGGCGGTGCCGCTGCAGGTCGAGAGGCGGCGAGGCCGCTGTAGGGTAGGGCGGCGACGGGCCGCGCTAGGGCGGCGGCGGGTCGCAGTAGAAAGGGCGGCGACAGGCCGCTGTAGGGCGGCAGCAGGCCGCTTTAGGGCGGCGGCGGGCCGCTGCGGAGAGGGCGGCGGTGAGGCCGCTTGAGGGCGGCTGTGGGCCGCTGCTGAAAGGGCGGCTGCGGGCCGGTTTAGGGCGGCCACAGGCCGCTGTAGAGCGGGCGGCGGTGGGCTGCAGCAGGGCGGCAGCGGGCCGCTTTAGGGCGGCGGCGGGCCGCTGCAGAACGGGCGGCGACGGGCCGCGTAGGGCGGCGGCGAGCCGCTGCGGAAAGGGCGGCGGCGGGCCGCTGCGGGCGGCGACGGGCCGCTGCAGAGCAGGCGGCGGCGGGCCTCCCTTAGGGCGGCGGCGGGCCGCTACAAGAAGGGCGGCGGTGGCGGGCCGCTGCAGGAAGGGCGGCGGCGGGCCGGTTTTAGGGCAGCGAGGGGCCGCTGCAGAGCGGGCGGCGGCGGGCCGCTTTAGGGCGGGTGGCAGCGGGCCGCGTTAGGGCGGCGGCGGGCCGCTAAGAGAAGGGTGGCGGCGGGCCGCAAAGGGCGGCGGCGGGCCGCGCAGAAAAGGCGACGGGCCGCTAGGGGCCGCCGCTAGGGCAGGCGCGCTTCGGGTAGGGGGGGGGCAGGACGCGCTAGGAACAGTCCCACGAGGGAACCTGCTCGATACCATGAGGAAATGCAAACGAGAATGAATGAACTATGAATGAAGTGAGTACAAGTACTAACCTTAATTAGGTTGTACCCCCTATGGGATACCCCACTATAGCCTACACAACACCATAAGCTATAATGTTCTGACAGAAAACACCGACGTCGCCAGGGCTCAGTACTACAGTGAGTCCGTCATGGCTTACAGTGTGCTGCTACGCAACATGACGCCTGCGGAACAACTCAACATACGCTCCTACAAAGAGAGCGACGCTCCAGCAATGGAAGCTTGGAAGCACCTCGTTGAAGTTTACAAGCCGAAGGATTCGGTCACCGCCAGAAGGCTTCTCCAGCAACTCCTGGAGATAAAGATGGGGCACGGGGAGAAGGCAAACCCATATATTAACCGCTGTCGCAACATCCGTGACCAGATCACGAAGCATGGGAGTATGATCTCAGAAGAGATTTTCGTCAATATAGTCCTTCAAGGACTCGGGCCTGAGTGGAAGCCCTGCAAGGCGTTACTCCGACAGCAAGGAACAATTTCAGAAGCCGCGCTATGCGCCGCACTCCTATCCGAACAACAGGATATGGACTCGAGCAGAACAAGCTCCGCACTGCGCCGAGAGCGCCTCGCCTTCTACACGGACAACCGAGAAGAGCGACGACAACCAAGGCGCCATTACTGCAAAATATGCAAAGTCTTCGGACACTCAACGGATAGATGTAAATCCCGATCCAACTACCGCCACCCAAATTCCACTCACCACAACAACTGGGTCGGCCAACAAGACGCTCGTCATCCTCAAACTCAGCATCAGCAAGCTCGTCCTCCTGCGCAACACCAGCAAAATCAAGGTCCACAGTCAGGAGCTCCCAGGAATGTCATCGCAAACATGGCGACACGACGACGGCGCACCACTGAACCTGACGAGGAGAACGAAGTCCAAGGAAGACTTCTGGAACCAGAAAAGGGATGGAATAATCCCTTCACCGAGGATCACTACTACCTGCACGACGAAGAAGAGCAGGACTGGAACCTTCCAATCACGCTGCGGGAAAGCCCGCCTCACGAAAATCAGCACTACGTACCAGTGGGCTGGAAGGAGGACGAAGATCCTTACTTCCACAGGCGCTTCAAGACCACCCTGGTAACTCCACGATTGGCGCTGCTGCTGCGCCGTAACAACACTGACAATTACAACACCTGGTACCTGGACAGCTGCTGCGGCCAGCACATGGTGGGGTCCACGCGCTATGTATCTAACCTAAGTCGCGCCCCTGCAACTTATGTCACCGTCGCCAACAACGAGCAGCTGCGCGCCAACTTACAAGGAATTGTCGTCCTGCAAGCACGAGATAGCAACACGCACATCTCGTTCAACGACGTACTCTGCGTCCCGAACCTGCGCTTCAACCTGCTCTCCGCTGGACAGCTCCGCGATTGCGGCGTCATCATTCACACGGACCTCGCAACACGCGATCTCATCCTCACCTACGCTCCCCCGGAGACTCCTCCTGAGGCATTCAAGTACCTCGGACGAGCTCGCTCCATCAATGGGATCTATATCCTAGACTTTGACATACCCCCCTGTCAAGCCTCGTCGGACGAGCTCGTGGATCTTGTCCCCCTCGAGTTCGCTTTCATGAACAAGGAGTCTTGGGAGCATCCGGATGGAAGACCGTGGGTTCGCCGAAGGCCTCACCCGCGTGAAATCAATCTTCACAAACCTGACGCCCACGGACTGTGCACCACCTGTCACACACCAACCACAAGTCGAACGGAAAAGGAGCAAGCGGCAATTCAGGAAGCAGAAAGCACTGAGACAGAACCAACAGGCGTGACTGAAGAAGAACTCGCCATATCATCACACTGCATATTCGGTGAGCCAAGCAAGAAATACGGCCAAGAACAGCAGGAGAGACCAAGGCCTTACTCGGACACCCTACGATTCGTCCTCGAAGCCAACGCGCGCACTCTCGACGAAGAAGGACGTCCGCGCCCGTAGACTCGCGAAGTCTACCGCCGCGAGATTGACCCTGTCTGGAAAGATCCTGACGCACCAGAGGAGCTGAGCGTCAAAGAAGAGCAGGAGAAGGCCCAAGCTGAGAAGCGGCAGAAGCTGTATGACGAGCACATCGCGGCAGGATGGGACCCAGACTCTGCGCGCGGAACATGGGGCAACGAGCCCGCTGATCCAGAAGAAGGCGCAACCTGGGGTTCCGCAACTGGGGCATGGGGAACCGGCACGGTCACCACAGAAGGATGGGGAAACAATGAGCCTGACGAAGGGGAGCTTACGCAACAGGAATTGGAGGAAGCTGAACAAGAAATACAAGCTGAGCGCAGCAAAGCATCACCTCGAGTAACCATTCCCCTCGGTCGACCCCCTCGCACTGACGAACCACCTCGCTCACCTCATCACTGGCGTGATCCCTGGTCGGAGATTGAGGAGGGGAATGTACCGCCAACACCTCCGCGAGACTCACTCGGTCCAATCTCCCGCCCAGATCCGTACGCCCGCTTCATCGAAGGCACCACGACCCCGCTCACGATCATTCCCGATCGCGAATTTCTCGCCCTGTATCTCTCAACGGCACCTGCAGAAGGGGAAGCAACGGCAGAAGCAGAAGAAGAGGAGGAGAAAAACGAAGCAGAACCAGGAGAAGAGGAAGAACCCCCACTCCAGATCCCAGAATTCACAGCGGAGGAGGCAGCATAGTACCACACCCGCTACAAGCGCACCTCCGGCATCCGTGCCGAGGATGACCTCTGGCACCAGCGGATGGGACACCCCTCGCGCCATACACTCGCCAATTGCCTCCGTGCAAAAGTCGGGACGGAGTTAGAACACACCACCCCCCATCCAACCATTTGCACTGTCTGCCCCACAGCTGCACTCTCTCACACTGCCTATCCCTATCTGGAGCCAAGCACCAACCGCTACAAGAAATTGGAAAAGGTGTACAACGATTTCATCGTACTCAGCTGCGACGGACTCAACGGCGAAAAGTACACACTGACCTTCATCGACGCCTACTCACGCCACGTGTGGGTTGCCAATGTTGACGCCCGCTCCAAAGCCCCGGAGGTGTTCCGTATCTTCCTCGCGCACGCGCAGCGACAGTCGGGAAGGAAACTGAAGATCTGGCAGAGTGATGGGGCAAAAGAATTTTGCAGCCATGAACTGGAGAGTGTGCTCACCGAGAAGAGGATTAAGCATGAGATTTCCCTTCCCTATGCTCACCAGCAGCAAGGCGTTGCTGAGCGGGTCAATCAGACCCTCATGACTAAAGTTCGCGCCATCATGAACCAGTCCGGCCTGCCAAAGAAATTTTGGCCGTATGCCATGAATCACGCGGTGCGCCTGCACAACCTCCTCTCCACCACCGCCAACAGGGATAACCTGTCACCCCACATGAAGTGGACCGGTTCAAGGGGAGATCCCTCCATGCTGAGGGTTTGGGGGTGCATGGTGCAGTATCGGCCCACTTCGGCCACAATCGGCAAGTTCGTTCATCGTGCGCGCTGGGGAGTTCATCTAGGACTCAGCCACGAGCACAAAGGATGGCTCATCCTTGACATGGACAACCAGGAAATTTGTCCCTGCACGTGACATTCTTTTCTACGAACGGCTCACCTTGATGCAGTGGATCGAGGACGAACGCCGTAACCAGGCACGCGACTGCGCCAACAGCGGCCGCGGCTTCGCGACCCCTGAAGATGAAGCAGCAGCAGCAGTTCTGGACCGCGACGACACCGACGAACATCCCAGCATTCCCCCTCGCCCGCGCGACGACGATGACGATGACAGTGATGACGACCCCGCGCCAGGACCATCGCGGCGCCAGACAGAACCAAGCACCGCACCACCCGGCTATGAGAGCGGAGATGACGACGTGATTGAATTCCCCACCAACGCAGACACCACCAACGTGTCAGGCCTTCACCTTCTTGGCCTGCACACGTCCGTCTCTACTCTCGCGCGGACCGTGGAACCTAAGAACCCTCGCCAGGCCCTAACCGGCCCTCACGCCAAGGAGTGGCGTGCTGCGATGGATGCGGAACTAAAAGCACTAGAATCGCGTGACACTTGGGTCCTAGTCGATCGTGCAGCAGTGAAGGGAAGGAGGGTGCTCAGTGGGAAATGGGTTTTTCGTCTAAAAACTAACGCTGACGGTACTATTGAGCGCTTCAAAGCACGTTGGGTCGTACGCAGCTACGACCAGCGTCACGGCATAGACTTCGATCAGACCTTCGCTCCCGTCAGTCGCCATACCTCGGTCCGGATTCTACTCGCTATTGCCGCCGCAAAGCACCTACCACTGCGACAGATCGACGTGAAGAACGCGTTTCTATACGCGTTGGTGGATGCCACCATATTTGTGGAGCAGCCGCACACCTACGGAGAAGGTGATCCCAGGGTCTGTCAACTAAAGAAGTCACTCTACGGGATCAAACAGGCGCCACGACTCTGGCAGCAGCATCTGCACAAAATCCTCCTCGAAATCGGCTTTAAGCAACTCCCACACGACCCGGGAATGTATCGCCTCCACTTCAGCGGCGATTACATCCTCCTGACAGTCTACGTAGACGACCTGCTGTATACGGGGACCTACAACAAACTCCTCGACCAGTTTCAGGAGAACCTGGTGCAGCGCGTGGACATCACCATCAACCTGTCTCCTGACAGTTTTTGGGGTTAAACATCATTTACGCGCCAGGAGCAATTCATCTGTCAGCCTCCAAGTATGCAGTGCAGCTGGGGGAACGCTTCAACATCTCACCCGCACCACTCTCAACTCCCTACCGCAGCCCGAGCACCAACTACAATTCAGACAACAAACCTCTGTTGCCCGCAGGACTCCAAATGTACCAGCAGAAGTTGGGGTGCCTGCTATGTGAAAGTAATGAACAGGGATGAATGACTAAGGAAAGATTGGGGTACAAATACAACCCTAGAAACTTGTACCCCATATGTGCTACCCCACTATAGCCTACAGCAACTATGTCATATAAATCTGACACACCCCCATAGGCAAAGTGGGGGAGAACAAGGGGTCACAAGACCAGTCAAGCAAAACAAAGCAAAGCTCATGGTGGATCACAAAGTCACCACACAGTCCGAGCACAAGGTCAAGGCCACAAGGCCAGTTCACATGCAAGACTAGAGACATATATATATAAGGCTAAACAAGCAAGAGCAGGTATATATATATATGCAAGAGTACAAGCAAGGTCAAGAGGTGAGCAAGTGAGGTAGGACAGGTACAAGTCCCAGCTGAGTGCAGAAGCGCTGATGGTCACAAGGCGCGAGTGCCTTGGTGAACACATCAGCAGTGTTGGCCTCAGAGGCCACGTACGCTAGCCGCAATTGTCCACGCTGCTGTAGCTCACGAGCAAGGAAATAGCGAAGAGCAATGTGCTTCGTTCAGTGCTCCACTCGCTGCTCTCGACACAAGGCCAGCATGGCCTTGTTGTCTACGTACAGCACTGGAGGAGAACGAGGCGGCTCTCCAAGGTCGGTCAGCAGGTAGGTGAGCCAGCGAAGCTCCTGTGCAGCCATGGCCCCTGCGTAGATCTCAGCCTCACAACTGGAGCTGAGAACTGAAGACGAGCGAGTAGCCCGCCACGAGACAGAGCCGGAACCAAGGCTGAAGGTGTAACCCTGTGACGACCGCTGCGTAGCCTGGTCGTCAGCCCAAGAAGCGTCCGCGTGTCCTGTAAGGACCACTGGACTCCGCCCTCCAAGCACTAGCCCCATGCCCGACGTACTGCACAGGTAGCGCAACACCCTTTTCGCTGCAGCCATGTGCTCTGGTCGGTGTCTCCCAGGAGCAACATAGCGTGCAAGAATGCTAAGAGGGTATGCAAGGTCAGGTCGTGTGTAGGTCATCAGGTACATGAGGCAGCCAACAAGCTCTGGGTACGGGCCACTCGACTCTACAGACTCATCCGAAGGCAGAGCTGAGAGCGAGTGGCGAGTAGACAGAGGAGTGGCCTGAGGCGAGGAGTACGTGAAGCCGAAGCGCTGAAGGACCTGCTGCACCATGTGTGACTGAGTCAGGGTAATGGTGCGGCGTGCTCTGTCCCGAGTGATCTGCAAGCCAAGGTAGCTGCGCAGTTCACCCAGGTCTGTGCACGTGTGTCTCTTCTGCAGCTCGGACTTCACGTAGGCGAGTCCAGCAGTGTCCGCTGTGGCAAAGACCAAGTCGTCGACGTACACGAGGATGTAGAACGGCGGCAAAGAAGTGTCGGTGCGCAGAAACAGCGACGGGTCGGCAGTAGAAGGAGCAAACCCAAGAGCCGCAAGCGTAGTCCTCACTGTGTCGTGCCACTCACGCGGTGCCTGGCGGAGACCGTAGACTGGCCGTCGGAGGCTCCACTGGGTGCCAGGAGGGAAAGTCCCAGTGAAGCCAGGTGGACGGCGCAGCCAGATCTCCTCGTGCAGGCTACCCTGCAAGAACGCAGTGCTGAAGTCGAGAGAGTGAAGCTCGTAGTCGCGCTGAGCGGCTATGTGCAGCAGCACCCGAAGAGTAGTCATCTTCGGGGTGGGAGAGAAGGTCTGAAAGTAGTCAACTCCCTGCCGCTGACTGAAGCCACGAGCGACGTACCGCGCCTTGAAGACAGGTGGAGAGCCCGGCGGCCGCTTCACCCTGAAGATCCACATGCCACTGACGATGTTCGCCCCAGGAGGGGGAACCGCGTCAACGTAGGTGCCTGTGGACTTCCAGGAAGCCATCTCTGCATCCATAGCTGCCTGCCACTGAGAGGAGTAGGGACCCTCTACGGCCTCCGCGTAAGAGCGCGGAGTCGGGATGTCTAGTGCATCCGGGTCTCCCTCAGGAGCAAGCAGTACAGACGCGAGATGAGGTGAAGCGGCAGCCAGACACTGGAACTCCTCCTGCCTGTCCTCAAGGACGTCCGTGCCAAGAGCACACTCACCCCCGACGGACGGAGGACAGACAGACGCAGACTCAGCAACAAGACTGGCAGCGTAGTCTAGACGACAGCGAGTAGCAAAGTCGACGAGCTCAGCGACAAGAGCAGACGCAGCGGCGGACTCAAAAGAGGGGTCAGTGACGACAGTAGCAAGCAGACGCGTGACAGTAGGACTGGCAGCACGAAGGGAGTCCGACTCTGGGTCGGCAAGCACAGGAAGGGAGGACTCAGGAGGAGCAGGCAAAGGGGCACGCAGAGGAGCAGTGGACGGACGCAGAGACATCCGGTGCGTGCCAGGGACAGGAGGAGGACGCTGACGCGAACCGCGACCACTAGCGCAAGCAGCACGAACAGGCGACGCGGGACGAGACGCAGGCTCACGACGCTCAGCAAGACCCCCAGTAGGACCAGTGTAAGGAGAGGGAGCAGGCAGTGGAGAGGTAGGCTCCAACAGTGACTGCGACTGGACAGGCTGTGGACACTCTACGGGAGGAGAAAGACCAAGAACCTGCTGTAGGAGCGGAACGAAGTACGGCCGAGGCCGCGCGGCAACTCCAGACTCAGCAGGGTCAGCGCCAGCACCCTCAGCGGCAGCACCAGTACCACCAACACCTCGAGCGGCAGGACCTCCAGCAGCACCAGCAGCAGGACCACCGCAAGGACAGACAGCAGTAGTCTCAGCACCAACACCCTCAGAAGCTCCAGCTCCAGTAGGACCCGCAGGCCCAGCAGCTCCGGGACCGGCGGCACCAGCACCCTCGGTGGTCGAAGAAGCTCCAGCTCCAGCAGTACGCCTCCAGCGGCGAGCAAACCACTCGCGCAGCTCCTGTGGAGAGAGAGGCTCCCGCCGAGACAGAGCACCAGGAGAAACCCCAGGCTCAGCAGCTCCAGGCGCAGGACCCCCAGACTCAGCACCTCCAGGCTCAGTAGCTCCAGACGCAGCACCCCCAGGCTCAGCAGCTCCAGACTCAGCACCCCCAGACTCAGCACCCCCTAGCTCAGCAGCTCCAGGTACAGCACTCCCCAGCTCAGCACCCCCAGGCTCAGCACCCTCAGCAGTAGCACCCCCAGGCTCAGCACCCCCAGGAGCAGCACCTCCAGGCTCGGCACCCCCAGGCTCAGCACCCCCGCGCACAACACCCCCAGAGTCAGCACCCCCAGGCTCAGCACCTGCAGCAGCACCAGAGTCACCAGTAACCTCGACCGGGTCAACGGCGTCTACCTGGGACACACCTGAGGGGGCAGGAACCTGAGGGGGGAGGGGGTCTACCGGGGGGGGAACCGGCACAAGAAAGTCCGGTGGTGGGGGGAGAGAAGGAGTGCGGTAGGGGAAGAGGCGGTAGAAGGGGACTGACTCGTCGAACGTGACGTCCTGGGAGGACAGAACACGACGAGAGGAGGGGTGGTAGAACTGCCACCCTCGAGCGTCAAGGGGGAAGCCAAGGAAGACACAGGGAGCAGCACGAGGACTGCTTGTCCGCAGACAAGTCGCGGACAAACGCCCGAGATCCCCAGACACGGAACGCAGACGCATCGCCGACCTTCCCCGTCCACAGCAGAGCTGGGGAGGTCTCCGGCCGGGAGACCCTGGGGTGAAGGTTGAGCTGATGCGCCGCGTACCGAACCGCAAACGGCCACAGAAAATGGGGGGCAGCCGCATGCATCATGGACGTACGAGCGACATCCATGACCATGCCAATGCGGCGCTCAGCAATCCCATTTTGCTGTGGAGAGTCCGGAAGCGTAAAGGTCTGGCGGATCCCCCGTGCACGACAGTAGTCTTGCAGAAGGCGAGAGGAGAACTCCCCACCTCGGTCAGAGTGCAGACGCAGAACAGGTGAGTCCGAGCCGAAGCTCCTCCTGAGCTGGAGACGAGTCTCGCGGATCCAGTCGATCAGCACCGCAGTGACATCATCCTTGCTGCGCAAGACTGTGGTGTAACGCGAGTAGTCGTCAACCACCAACAGGAAGTAGCGCTCGTGACCCTGCCCACAGACGCGGGCCGGGCCCCACACGTCCATGTGAAGTGTCTGCAGAGGGGCCTCTGTCGGGGGAAACTCGGAGGAGTGAGGAGCAGCCCTGAGGCGCCCCTCGACACAGGGGACACAGGAAGTACCTGGTCCCGAAGGAAGGGGAGGGAGAGACCGGGGAAGACCTGAGACAAGGACACGGGAAGCCATGCCCCGAAGACGGGACAGGGAGTGGTGGCCAAGACGGTGGTGCCACAGGAGAGTCTCGTGAGACAGGAGGCGACACGAACAGGGGGCAGACTCAGGGCCAGACCGGGACGCAGCAGCAAACACCTGACCTGACGAAGCTACCTGACCAGACGCAGGGACAGGAGGAGACTCAGTGGTCAGGGTGTAGAGGCTCGACCCCGGCCGACGCGAGAACGTGGCCAGGTGCCGGCCTGTGCGTGCGTCCGTGCAGTGGGTCACCCGCTGACTCGCAGGAGTGAACTGGTGAACCCCCGCATCCTGTAGGTCCGCACCACTCACCAAGTTCGTCGAGAACGAGGTAAGGTACAGACCAGACAGGGTGCCCGAGGGGGCAGCCGGACACGGGAGGACAATGGAAAAGTGAGAGAGGACAGGACCCCCAGAGGGGTCAGCCAGGGAGACCGCAACCGGCCGACCAAGCGGCGTGAGGGTGGTGCGGTCTCGAAAGAAGGAGCGAGAAGCCCCTGAGTCAAGTGTGAAAGTGAGGGAGGACGAAGGCGACGCAATACCTGAGAGCGCAGTCTCACGAGTACCTGAGAGCGCAGACGCACTGGCACCTAGAGCAGCAGCCTCACAAGCACCTAGCGCAGCAGTACCAATGCCCGGGTCGGGCGGGAAACACCGGTAACAGTCACCCTCCTCACTAATAGTCACAGCATACATAGCAGCAAGGATAGCATCAAAGTCAAGATCAAAGATCGCTACACCAGCCCTAGAAAGCTCATCCCAGCGGGGAATCTCACTAGCCTCGGGGAACTGCTGACGCCAAGCGTCCGTCAGGCGGCCGAAGCAGCGCTGGGTGGAGTGGGCACCCCCACACTGCTCACCCGCGCGGTCGCCGGAACGAAGGACGTAGGTGCACGGACCAGCACCCCCACCCCTCTGACGCCGAGTGTACCACTCACGGAGCTGCTGGGGCGGAGGGATGTCCCGTGAACGCTGCTGTTGCTGCTGCTGCTGGCGCTGACCACTACCAGCGCCGCTCCGCTGCGGGGCACCACCCCGACCAGCTCCACCTCCTCCGCCAACACCTCCTCCTCCGCCGCCTCCACCGCCGCCACCACTCCCACCGCTGCCGCCACCACCGCCGCCGCCTCCGCCGCTGCCACCACCACTACCACCGCCTCCGCCACCACTCCCGCCGCCACCCCCACTCCCTCCGCCGCCTCCACCGCCACCTCCACCGCCCCCTCCAGCTCCACCCGCGCCCTTGCCCCCCTTGCCCTTGCCAGAGCGGCGTCTCCCACTAGGGGCAGACGCCGCGCCGACCGACTCAAGACCAAGCAGGTCGGCAGCAGCAGCAGAGGCAACAGAGGGCAGCAGGGGGGAAGGAGAGCACCCCTCAAAGATGGGGGTGCGAGGGTCACCACGAGAAGCGCCAACAGCGACGATGCTCTTCTCCGCCGCTAGGAGGGCCTTCTCGAGGAGGTCGACAGTGAGGGTGGTGGGACAGACTGAGAGAAAGTGGTCCCTGACTACGCGAAGGGAGTCAGGGAGGCGTGCTACTACATAGTAGAGAGTGATGTACATGGGGGGGGGGGTTCTTGGCGTTGAACTCAGCAGGAAGGGCGGCGCGGTAGAGAGTGTCACTAGTGCGGAGGTGCGTAATGAGGTCAGCGATAGTGGGAAAGGCAGTGAGGTCAGGAAAGAGGTACGGTAGCATGAGACGGCTCAGTGCAGCAGTGGCAGGGGAAGAGTAGCGTGCAACTACAGCGTCGTATAGGGTCTGAGCACTCTTGTACTGACTAAAGTGCGCGCGCTCAGTGGTGGGCAAGTGGCGACGCACAGCAAGACGTGCAGCAGCATCGCGGGTGGCCCACTGAGAGCGAACAGTGGGGTCAGCATCAGCAGCAGGAGCAGGAGAGGCGCCAGAGGTGAGGTCAAAGAGAGAAAGACCGTCTGCCCTATCGCACTGCAAAAACAACTGCAGGTCGTCGGCCCAGACCTCAAAGTCGATGGCTCTACCCTCAGCGTCAAAAGCTAGGACACTGGGGGTAGCCATGACGACAGACTAGCAGTGCAAGTAGTGGGGAAAGGGCAAGCGGTAGCAGTGCTGCGCTCACCAGGCAGGGCAGGTCGGGCGACTCGACGGCTGCAGGACGGCACGGCCGCTGCGGGGCGGCTCGGCTGCGACTGGGCAGCTCGGCGGCTCCTGGGCGGCTCGGCTGCTGCTGGGCGGCTCGGCTGCTGCTGGGCGGCTCGGCTGCAGCTGGGGGGCTCGGCTAATGCTGGGCGGCTCGGCTCCCGGGCGGCTCGGGTGGGGCGGCTCGGCTGCTCCGGTACCGGATGGCGGGGCCGTGAGTGCAGGGGCGACGGGGCCGTGAGTAGGGGCGGCGGTGTCGCGGTAGTAGGGGTGGCTGGGGCCGCTGAAGTAGGGGCGGCGGGGCCGCGAGAGAAGAGGCGGCGGGGCCGTGAAGGGGCGGCGGGGCCGCGACGGAGAGGCGGGGCCGCGACGGAGTGGCGGGTCCGCGAGGAAGAGGCGGCGGGGCCACGACTGGGTGGCGGGGCCGCGACGGGGCGGCGGAGCCGCGACGTAGTGGCGGGGCCGCGACTGGACGGCGGGGCCGCGACTGGACGGCGGGGCCGCGAAGGAGAGGCGGGGCCGCTCGAAGGGTGGGCGGGGCCGTTAGGAAGGGCGGCGGGGCCGCGTCTGAAGGGCGGTGGGGCCGCGAGAAGGGCAGCGGGGCCGCGAGGGAAAGGGCGACTCGGGGGGTCGCTAAAAAAAAGGAGATCGCGCGCCTCGGGGCGCGCTTCGGTGGGCCCTAGGCGAAGTTCCCACAGGGAACCCGCTCTATACCATGTGAAAGTAATGAACAGGAATGAATGACTAAGGAAAGATTGGGGTACAAATACAACCCTAGAAACCTGTACCCCATATGTGCTACCCCACTATAGCCTACAGCAACTATGTCATATAAATCTGACATGCTATTCGCCTCTGTCACCTGCCGACCCGACCTTTCGTACATCGCTAGCCAACTGGCGCAGTACTCTCACAAGCAAGTAGCTGAGAACCAGCTGGACCTGGAGCGCGCCCTGCAGTACTTCATCTCCACACCTGACATTGGGCTCTCCTACTCCACGCTGACGACGAACTCCTTCAACCTCAACAGCTACGTGGACGCAGACCACGCAGCTGATCCTGCAAATCGACGATAACGAACCGGCTTTGTTTTTCGCCTGGAACCAACTGGACCAATCTCTTGGAACTCCCAGAAGTAGGAGCTGGTTGCCCTGTCATCGGCTGAAGCAGAATACATTGCCGCGACAGCAGCAGTTCGCGAAGGCTTGTACCTGCAGGAGCTGCTGCAGGAGGCAAAAATTCAACCTCGCCTACCTTTCGCCTTCACTGCGACAACCAGAGTGCCATCAAAATCGCGAACAAGTCAGGATTCGTGAACCGCACGAAGCACATCGCGCTTCGGTACTTTTTCGTCAAGGACGAAATCGACCAAGGCAAAGTGGACCTCGCTTACTGCCCGACCACCGAGATGGCAGCAGACTTCCTCACCAAGCGCCTGCCATGTCAGCAGTATAAGCACTGCTCTGATCTCACCGGAGTAGTCAAGCGAGTCAGCTCCACCCGCGCCCAGGAATGAAGGGGATGTCAGAACATAATAGCTTATGCTTTTGTATAGGCTGTAGTGGGGTAGCCCATATGGGGTACAACCCAATTAGGGTTAGTACTTGTACCCAATTCTTTCATTGTTCATTCATTCTCGTTTCAGTTTTCTCATGGTATCAGAGCAGGTTCCCTCGTGGGAACTGTTCCTAGGGCCCACCAACTCGACTTTTTTTTTCCTGCCCGGAGCGCGCTCAGCCCTAGCCCGAGTTGCGCTCCCCTTCTCGACCCAGTCGCGCCGCCCTTGCGGCCCTGATCAGCGGCCCTAGCGGCCCCGTCGCCTCCCTTGCGGCCCTTGCACCGCCCTTCCTAGCCTCGACCCGCCGCCCTGCGGCCTCATCACCTACCCCGCGGCCCTCGCGCCGCCCTCTCTCGGCCCCGATCCGCCGCCCTGCGGCCTCGTCGCCTACCCCGCGGCCCTCGCGACGACCTGCGGCCCTAACGCCGCCCTCACCTGCGGCCCCGGCGCCTATCTGCTGGCCTCGCCACCTACCTGCGGCCCCGCCACCTACCTGCGGCCCCGCCACCTACCTGCGACCCCGCCGCCCGTACCTGCGGCCCCGGCGCCTACCTGCTGGCCCCGCCACCTACCTACGGCCCCGCCACCTACCTGCGGCCCCGGCGACTACCTGCGGCCCCGGCGCGTACCTGTGCGACCCCGGCGCCTACCTGCTGGCCCCGCCACCTACCTGCGGCCCCGCCATCTACCTGCGGCCCCGCCGCCCTTACCTACAGCCCCGGCGCCGCCTTTGCCGGCCTCGTCGCCGTCCCCTCACGGCCCCGCCGCCACCACTACGGTGCAACCGCCGTAGCCTGTTGCAGCGCCGCCCACCACCCAAGCCGCCCGAGCCGCCACGCCCAGCCGAGCAGCCGACCGCCGCGCCGCCCTGCAGCCGAACCGCCTAGCCGCCCAGCAGCCAAGCAGCCGAGCCGCCGAGCCGCCGGGCCGCCCTGCAGCCGAGCCGCCGAGCCTTCGAGTCGCCCTACAGCCAAGCCGCCAGGCGCCCAGCAGCCGAGCAGGCGAGCCGCCGGACCGCCCAGCGGCCGTACAGCCGAGGCGCCGAGCCGCCGAGTCGCCCTGCAGCTGAGCCGCCCGAGCCGCCCTGTCCGGTAAGAGCAGCGCCTCTGTCACTGCACTGCCCTCACCCTACTGTTCGCGCTGCTAGTCTACTGCTCTCATGGCTACCCCTAGTGTCCTTGCTTTTGACGCTGAGGGTCGGGCCATTGACTTTGACATCTGGATAGATGACCTGCAGCTTTTCCTACAATGCGATAGGGCAGACGGTCTCTCTCTCTCTTTGACCTCACCTCTGGTGCCTCTCATGCCCCTGCTGCTGATGCTGACGCCACTTTTCGCTCATAGTGGGCCACGCGCAATGCTGCTGCACGTCTTGCTGTGCGTCGCCACCTGCCTACCTCTGAGCGTGCGCACTTTAGCCAGTACAAGAGTGCTCAGACCTTGTACGACGCTGTAGTTGCACGCTACTCCTTCCCTGCCACTGCTGCACTGAGCCGCCTCATGCTACCGTACCTCTTCCCTGACCTTGCTGCATTTCCCACAGTCGCTGACCTCATTACGCACCTCCGCACTAGTGACACTCGCTACCGCGCTGCGCTTCCTGCTGAGTTCTGCGCCAAGAACCCCCCCCCCCATGTACATCACTCTCTACAACATAGTCACCCATCTCCCTGACTCCCTTCGCGTAGTCAGGGACCACTTCCTCTCAGTCTGTCCCACCACTCTCACTGTTGACCTCCTCGAGAAGGCCCTCTTAGCAGCAGAGAAGAGCATAGTCGTTGTAGGAGCCTCTCGTGGTGACCCGCGCACCCCCATCTTTGAGGGGTGTTCCCCCTCCCCCCTTTTGCCCTCTGTTGCCTCTGCTGCTGCGGCCGACCTCGTTGGGCTTGAGTCATTCGGTGCGGCGTCTACCCCTAGCGGGGCAGGGGCGCTGGAGGAGCTAGCGAGGGCGGTGGAGGTGGCGGTGGAGGCGGCGGAGGGGGTGGGGGTGGTGGTGGGGGTGGTGGCGGGGGTGGAGGTGTCGGTGGCGGCAGTAGAGGCGGAGGCGGCGGCAGTGGCGGTGGGAGCGGAGGTGGCGGAGGTGGCGGCGGTGGAGGAGGCGGTGGCGGAGGAGGTGGAGCTGGTCGGGGTGGCGCTTTGCAGAGGGTCGGCTCCGGTGGTGGTCAGCGCCAGCAGCAGCAGCAGCGCACTCGTGACATCCCCCCCCCTCAGCAGCTCCGTGAGTGGTACGCTGCACGCCAGCGGGGTGGGGGTACTGGTCCGTGCACCTACGTCCTACGCACCGGCGACCGCGCGGGTGAGGAGTGTGGAGGTGCGCACCCCACTCAGCGCTGCTTTGGCCGCCTGACGGACGCTTGGAGTCACCAGTTTCCGGAGGCCACGGAGATCCCCCGCTGGGGTGAGTTGTCTAGGGCCGGAGTAGCTATCTTTGACCTTGACTTTGATACTATTCTTGCTGCCATATATGCTGTAACTATAAGTGATGAGGGTGACTGTTACCGGTGTTTCCCGCCCGACCCGGGCATTGAGACTGCTACTCCAGGTACTGGTGAGGCTGCTGCTCTAGGTGCTAGCGAGGCTGCTGCTCTAGGTGCCAGTGCGTCTGCTCCCTCAGGTTCTTGTGAGTCCGCGCTCTCAGGTACCGAGTCGGCTTCAGCCTCCCTCACCTTCACCCTTGACTCGGGGGCTTCTCGCTCCTTCTTTCGAGACCGCAACACACTCACGCCGCTTGGTCGGCCAGTTGCGGTCTCTCTGGCAGACCCCTCAGGGGGTCATGTCCTTGCTCACTTCTCCACTGTCCTCCCGTGTCCGGCGGCTCCCTCTGGCACCCTGTCTGGTCTTTACCTCCCCTCGTTCTCTACAAACTTGGTGAGTGGTGCTGACCTTCAGGATGGGGGAGTTCACCAGTTTACTCCTGCGAGCCAGCGGGTGACCCACTGCACGGACGCTCGGACGGGCCGACACTTGGCCACGTTTACTCGTCGGCCGGGGTCGAGCCTGTACACACTGACCACTACGTCTCCTTCTGTCCCTGCGTCTGGCCAGGTAGCTGCGTCGGGTCAGGTGTTTGCTGCAGCGTCCAGGTCTGGTCCTGAGTCTGCCACCTGCTCGTGTCGCCTCCTGTCTCACGAGACTCTCCTCTGGCACCATCGCCTTGGTCACCCCTCCCTGCTTCGTCTCCGAGGCATGGCCACCCATTTCCTTGTCTCTGGACTTCCCCGGTCCCTCCCTCCCCTTCCTCCGGGGCCTGGCCCTACCTGCGTCCCCTGTGTCAAGGGGCGGCAGCGCGCTGCCCCTCACTCCTCCCAGTTTCCTCCGACAGAGGCCCCGCTGCAGACGCTTCACCTGGACGTGTGGGGCCCCGCCCACGTCCGTGGACTGAGTCACGAGCGCTACTTCCTGTTGGTGGTTAACGACTACTCGCGTTACACCACAGTCTTCCCCTTGCGCAGCAAGGGTGATGTCACTGAGGTGTTGATCGACTGGATCCGCGCAGCTCGTCTCCAGCTCAGGCAGAGCTTCGGCTCGGACTTTCCTGTTCTGCGTCTGCACTCTGATAGAGGCGGAGAGTTCTCCTCTGGCCTTCTGCGGGCCTACTGTCGTGCACGAGGCATCCGCCAGACCTTCACGCTTCCGGACTCTCCACAGCAAAATGGGATTGGTGAGCGCCGCATTGGCATGGTCATGGACGTCGCTCGTATGTCCATGATGCATGCGGCTGCCCCCCATTTTCTGTGGCCGTTTGCGGTTCGGTACGCGGCGCATCAGATCAACCTCCACCCCAGGGTCTCCTTGCCGGAGACCTCCCTAGCCTTGCTATGGACGGGGAAGGTTGGCGATGCGTCTGCGTTCCGTGTCTGGGGAGCTCGGGCGTTTGTTCGCGACTTGTCTGCGGACAAGCTGTCCCCTCGTGCTGCTCCTTGCGTCTTCCTGGGTTTCCCCCCTGACGCGCCAGGGTGGCAGTTCTACCACCCCACCTCTCGCCGTGTTCTGTCCTCCCAGGACGTCACGTTTGACGAGTCGGTCCCCTACTACCGTCTCTTCCCCTACCGCACTTCGTCCCTCCCCCCGCCGCTGCTCTTCCTTGTACCAGTTCCCCCCCCGGTAGACCCCCTCCCCCCTCAGGGTCCGGCCCCTTCAGGTGTGTCCCTGGTAGACGCGGTCGAGCCTGTCGAGGTCTTTGGTGACTCTGGTGCTGCTGAGGGTGTTGAGCTTGGGGGTGCTGACTCTGAGGGTGATGAGCGTGTGCGTGATGAGCCTGGGGGTGCTGAGACTGGGGGTGCTGCGCCTGGGGGTGCTGAGCCTGGGGGTGTTGAGCCTGGGGGTGCTGAGCCTGGGGGTGCTACGCCTGGGGGTATACGTCTAGAGGTGCTGAGCCTGGGGGTGCTACGTCTGGAGGTGCTGAGCCTGGAGGTGTGGAGCCTGAGGGAGTTGGGCCTGCGTGTGAGGCGTCCGGCGGTGCTGGGCCTGGAGGTTCTCCGGGTGCTTCGTCTCAGCGGGAGCCACTCTCTCCACAGAAGCTACGCGAGTGGTTTGCCCAGCGCTGGGGGCGTGCTGCTGGAGCTGGAGGTTCTTCGGCTGCTGAGGGTGCTGGTGCCGCGGGTCCTGGAGGTGCTCGTACTGGCGGTACTGGAGCTGCTGGGCCGGCGGGTGCGTCTGGAGCTGGAGCTGCTGAGGGTGTCGGCGTTGGGAATTCTGCTCTCGGTCCTGGTGACGGTGTTGCTGGAGGTATTGGAGCTGGAGGTGCTGCTGGCGCGGGTGCTGCCACTGCGGGTGCTGGTGCTATCCCTGCTGTGTCTGGAGTCACTTCGCGGCCTCGACCGTACTTCGTTCCGCTCCTTCAGCAGGTACTTGGTCTCCTGCCTTCTACAGGTTCTCCTCCTCCCTTAGAGTGTCCACAGCCTGTCCCGTCACAGTTACAGTTACAGCCCGCCTCCCCACTGCCTGCTCCTTCTCCCTACACTGGTCCTACTAGAGGTCTTGCTGAGCGTCGTGAGCCTGCGTCTCGCCCTGCGTCGCCTGTCCGTGCTGCTCGCACTAGTGGTCGCGGTTCGCGTCAGCGTCCTCCTCCTGTCCCTGGCACGCACCGGATGTCTCTGCGTCTGTCCACTGGTCCTCTGCGTGCCGCTTTGCCTTCTCCTCCTGAGTCCCCTCTTCCTACCCTTCCCGACCCGGAGTCGGACTCTCTTCGTGCTGCCAGTCCTACTATCACGCGTCACCTTGCTACTGTCGTCACTGACCCTTCCTTTGAGTCCTCTGCTGCGTCTGCTCTCATTGCTGAGCTAGTCGACTTTGCTGCTCGCTGTCGTCTAGACTACGCTGCTAGTCTTGTCGCTGAGTTCGAGTCTGTCTGTCCTCCGTCCGTCGGGGGTGAGTGTGCCCTTGGCCCGGACGTCCTTGAGGACAGGCAGGAGGAGTTCCAGTTTCTCGCTGCTGCTTCACCTCATCTCGTGTCCGTACTGCTCACCCCTGAGGGAGACCCGGATGCACTTGACATCCCGACTCCACGCTCTTACGCGGAGGCGATAGAGGGTCCCTACTCCTCTCAGTGGCAGGCAGCTATGGACGCAGAGATGGCTTCCTGGAAGTCCACAGGCACCTACGTTGACGAGGTTCCCCTCCCTGGGGCGAACATCGTCAGTGGCATGTGGATTTTCAGGGTGAAGCGGCCGCCGGGTTTCCAGCCTGTCTTCAAGGCGCGGTACGTGGCTCGTGGCTTCAGTCAGCGGCAGGGAGTTGACTACTTTCAGACCTTCTCTCCCACCCTGAAGATGACCACTCTTCGGGTACTGCTGCACGTAGCTGCTCACCGTGACTACGAGCTGCACTCTCTTGACTTCAGTACTGCTTTCTTGCAGGGTAGCCTGCACGAGGAGATCTGGCTGCGCCGCCCACCTGGCTTCACTGGGTATTTTCCTCCTGGCACCCAGTGGAGCCTCTGGCGGCCAGTCTACGGTCTTTGCCAGGCACCGCGTGAGTGGCACGACACACTGAGGACTACGCTTGCAGCTCTTGGGTTTGCTCCCTCTACTGCTGACCCGTCGCTGTTTCTGCGCACCGACACCTCTCTGCCGCGGTTCTACATCCTCGTGTACGTCTACAACTTGGTCTTTGCCACAGCTGACACTGCTGCACTCGCCTACGTGAAGTCCGAGCTGCAGAAGAGACACACGTGCACAGACCTGGGTGAACTGCGCAGCTACCTTGGCTTGCAGATCACCCGGGACAGAGCACGCCACACCATTACCTTGACTCAGTCACACATGGTGCAGCAGGTCCTTCAGCGCTTCGGCTTCTTGTACTCCTCGCCTCAGGCCACTCCTCTGCCTACTCGCCACTCGCTCTCAGCTCTGCCTTCGGATGAGTCCGTAGAGTCGAGTGGCCCGTACTCAGAGCTTGTTGGGTGCCTCATGTACCTGATGACCTGCACTCGACCTGACCTTGCATACCCTCTTAGCATTCTCGCACGCTATGTTGCTCCTGGGAGACACAGACCGGAGCACATGGCTGCAGCGAAGAGGGTGTTGCGCTACTTGTGCAGTACGTCGGGCATGGGGCTAGTGCTTGGAGAGCGCAGTCCAGTGGTCCTCACTGGACACGCAGACGCTTCTTGGGCTGACGACCAGACTACGCAGCAGTCGTCACAGGGTTACACCTTCAGCCTTGGTTCCGGCTCTGTTTCGTGGCGTGCTACCCGCTCGTCTTCTGTTCTCGGCTCCAGTTGTGACGCTGAGATCTACGCCGGGGCTCTGGCTGCACAGGAGCTTCGCTGGCTCACCTACATGCTGACTGGCCTTGCAGAGGTGCCTCGTTCTCCTCCAGTGCTGTACGTAGACAACAAGGCCATGCTGGCCTTGTGCCGAGAGCAGAGACTGGAGCACAGAACGAAGCACATTGCCCTTCGCTATTTCCTTGCTCGTGAGCTGCAGCAGCGTGGTCAGCTGCGTCTTGCGTACCTAGCCTCTGAGGCCAACACTGCTGATATCTTCACCAAGGCACTTGCACCTTGTGATCATCAGCGTTTTTGTACTCAGCTTGGTCTTGTGCCTGTCTTGCCTCACTTGCTCACCTCTTGACCTTGCTTGTACTGTTACATATATATACACATGCTCTTGCTTCTTTAGCCTTCTATATATATATATATCTACTCTTGCATATGAACTGGCCTTGTGGCCTTGAACTTGTGCTTGGAATGTGTGGTGACGTTGTGATCCACCCTGAGCTTGCTTTGCTTTGCTTTGCTTGACTGGTCTTGTGACCCCTTGTTCTCCCCCACTTTGCCTATGGGGGTGTATCATAACATTATAGCTTATGCTTTTGTGTAGGCTGTAGTGGGGTAGCCCATATGGGGTACAACCCAATTAGGGTTAGTACTGTCATAATGTTATCTTATGCTCTAGCCTGTAGTGGGGTGCTCTATAGCGAGTACAACCCTTCTAGGGTTTGCTATTTGTATCCTCATTATTGCTAGTTCAATCCTCTTCTCTCTTCTAAAATTTAACATGCTATCAGAGCAGGTCGATCCCCTTGGATCGATCCTGTGGGTGGGTTACCACCTCCTCGCTTCCGCTGCAACTTTTTCTTCCCGCCGTGCGCCCCGAGGCGCGCGGCGGTTTTCTGCCCGCCGTGCGCCCCGAGGCGCGCGGCGGTTTTCTGCCCGTCGTGCGCCCCGAGGCGCGCGGCGGTTCTCTGCCCGCTGTGCGCTCCGAGGCGCGCGGCGGGCTTCTGCCTCGTCGTTCGCCGCGTCGCCCTCTAGAGGCGCCGCGACGAGCGACGGGGACCCGTCGCGGCCCCGCCGCCTCACTTTGCGGCCCCGCTGCCCCATTTCGCGGCCCCGCCACCCTACATGCGCGGCCCCGCCGCCCCATTTCGCGGCCCTGCCGCCCTTCTGTCGCAGCCACGCCGCCCTTCTGTCGCGGCCCCGCCGCCCCAACTTCGCGGCCCCGCCGCCCTAAACCTGCGGCCCCGCTGCCCCAACTTCGCGGCCCCGCCGCCCTAAACCTGCGGCCCCGCCGCCCTACTTGCGCCCCGGCCCCTTTTCCCGTCGCCTAACGAGGCGACCCTCGGGGGCCGGGGGAGGGGGGCGAGCGCCGCCATCCCGCCCTGCCTACCCGCCATCCCACCCTGCCTGTGTTAGGGTTTGGGGGTGGCAAGTAGGGGGTGGCAAGTATGGGGGTGGCACTTCTTCATTCCTCCCTTTGCTCCTCCTCCTCCTTCGTCTCCCACTGCTGCAGCTCTCGCTGAGGGGGGTGGATGTGTGGGAGACTGGGGTTTAGGGTTTAGGGGGGGTGCGTGGGAGTGGAGTTAGCGGTGTAGCAGCGGGTGTGTGCCAGGGGGAGTGGGATAGTTTGGGGAAGCTGCATGGAGGTTGCCGTCGTGTCGCCAGCAGCACCTGTATTCCGGGGACTTCGTCCGGTAGCCCAGTTGTAGCCAGCTGTGCCAGCCGCCCGTGGGTCCGTTGCTCGTCTGCCGCTACTTTAGCCGCGGGGCCTGTTACTCCTGTATTCCGCGGACTTCGTCCGGTAGCCGCTGTGCCAGTCTGCCTCCTGTTGCCCGTGTGTTTGCAGCTTCAGCCGGTGCCTCCTATCTCCTCTCCTCTCACTCTCTCTCCTCCTCCTCGCTTGCCCGTTGTGATTACCACTAGCTTTGCTTATAATTGTGAACTATAAACTATTGCTTCTTGAACTTGTGCTCAGAATGTGTGGTGACATTTTGATCCACCCTGAGCTTGTACTGCTTTGCTTGCTCTGCTGATTACACCCCACTTTGGCTATGGGGGTGTGTCAGAATGTTATCTTATGCTCTAGCCTGTAGTGGGGTGCTCTATAGCGAGTACAACCCTTCTAGGGTTTGCTATTTGTATCCTCATTCTTGCTAGTTCAATCCTCTTCTCTCTTCTAAAATTTAACAAGTACTTGTACCCAATTCTTTCATAGTTCATTCATTCTCGTTTCAGTTTTCTCAGGGGAGTGTTACGATGTGAAGTTTTATGAGGAGGCATTCCTGTCAGATGATTATATTACTGATGCATATATTTAGGCTGTAGTGGGGTAGCCCATAGGGGGTACAACCCAATTAGGGTTGGTACTTGTACTTGTTTCATTTCATAGTGCAACCATTCCTCGCCTCTATCTCATCATGGTATCGAGCAGGTTCCCTAGTGAGAACTGTTCTTAGGGCCCACCTACTATTCCGTCCTGCCCGGAGCGCGCTCTGCCCTAGCCCGAGTCGCGCTGGGCCTTTTTTTTCCTTTGGCGGCCCGATCGCGTCGAGCCGCCCGCGATTTTTTTTTGGCGCGCCACCTACGCGGCCTCGTCGCGCCGCCCCTAGACGGCCGCGCCGCGTCGCGCGTGCCGCTTTCCAGTCGCGCGCCGCCCCCTCTGACCCTCGCGACGCCGGCGCCGTCTCTGACGGCCCCGCGATCGCCTGCGACGGCCCCGCCGTCCCCTCTACCGGCCCCTCCACTGCACTTGACGGCCCCGCCGTCCCCTCTGCCGGCCCCGCCGCTGCACTTAACGGCCTCGCCGTCCCCTCTGACGGCCTCGCTGTCCCCTCTGCCGGCCCCGCCGCTGCTTCAGACGGCCTCGCCGCTGCTTCAGACGGCCCCGCCGCTGCACCTGACGGCCCCGCCGTCCCCTCTGACGGCCCCGCCGCTGCACCTAACGGCCCCGCCGTCCCCTCTGACGGCCCCGCCACTGCACCTACCGGCCCCGCCGCTACCCCTGACGGCCCCGCTGCTGCACCTGCCGGCCCCGCCGCCTCATCTGCAGGCCCCGCCGTCTCACCTGCCGGCCCCGCTGCTGTACCTGACGGCCCCGCCGCTTCACCTACCGGCCCCGCCACTACCCCTAACGGCCCCGCAGCTGCATCTCCCGGCCTCGCCGCCCCAGCAACTGCACCGCCCCACCAGCCGAGCCGCCCCAGCAGCCGAGCCGCCCCAGCAACCGAGCCGCCCTAGCAGCCGAGCCGCCCCAGCAGCCGAGCCGCCCCAGCAGCCGAGCCGCCCGAGCCGCCCGAGCCGCCCAGCAGCCGAGTCGCCGAGCCGCCCGAGCCGCCCGAGCCGTCCGAGCCGCCCGAGCCGCCCGAGCCGCCCGAGCCGTTTGCACTGCCCTGTCTGGTGAGCACTGAGCTTTACTCTGCGCACTGCCCTCACCCTACTGCTGTCATGGCTACCCCCAGTGTCCTCACCTTCGACGCTGAGGGCCGAGCCATAGACTTTGACGTGTGGGTAGACGACCTGCTGCTTTTCCTACAGTGCGACAGAGCTGACGGCCTCTCTCTCTTTGATCTCACTTCTGGTGCCTCTCCCGCCCCTGCTGCTACTGAGGATGCCACTGTTTGCTCAGTGTGGGCCACACGCGATGCTGCTGCACGTCTTGCTGTGCGTCGCAACCTCCCTCCCTCTGAGCGTGCACACTTTGGGTCGTACAAGAGTGCTCAGACCTTGTACGACGCCGTTATTGCACGCTACTCCACCCCTGCCACTGCTGCACTGAGCCGCCTCATGCTACCGTACCTCTTTCCCAACCTTGCTTCCTTTGCCACAGTCGCCGACCTCATTACCCACCTGCGCACTAGGGACGCTCGCTTCCGCGCTGCGCTTCCTGCTGAGTTCTGCGCCAAGAACCCCCCCCCCCCAGTACTTCACTCTCTACTACATTGTCGCCCGCCTCCCTGACTCCGCGTACTCTCAGTCTACCCCACCACTCTCACTGTTGACCTCCTCGAGAAGTCCCTCCTAGCAGCCGAGAAGAGCATTCTCGCTGTAGGGGCCTCTCGTGGTGACCCGCGCACCCCCATCTTTGAGGGGTGTTCCCCCTCCCCCCTCCTGCCCTCTGTCGCCTCTGCTGCTACGGCCGACCTAGCTGGTTTTGAGTCGGTCGGCGCGGCGTCTGCCCCCAGTGGGAGACGTCGCTCTCGCAAGGGCAAGGGGGGCAGGAGCGGTGGTGGCGTCGGCGGGGGCGGTGGAGGCGGCGGTGGAGGCAGCGGAGGAGGTGGGGGTGGTAGCGGGAGTGGTGGCGGGAGTGGAGGTGTCAGCGGCGGCAGTGGAGGCGGGGGTGGCAGCGGCAGTGGTGGTGGGAGTGGAGGTGGAGGCGGCGGTGGCGGCAGCGACGGTGGGAGTGGCGGTGGCAGCGGAGGTGGTGGCGGCGGCGGCGGAGGAGGCGGCGGAGGAGGTCGTTGCTCGTCGCAGAGGAGTGGCTCCGGTGGCGGTCAGCGCCAGCAGCAGCGGCAGCAGCGTGGTCAGGAGACCCTCTCCTCACAGCAGCTCCGTGAGTGGTACACTGCACGTCAGAGGGGTGGGGGTACTGGTCCGTGCGCCTAGGTCTTGTGCACTGGCGACCGTGCGGGTGAGCCGTGTGGTGGTCCACACTCCGCACAGCGCTGCTTCGGCCGCCTGACTGACGCTTGGCGCCGCCAGTTTCCTGACGCCTCTGAGATCCCTCGCTGGGACCAGCTGTCTAGGGCAGGAGTAGCTATCTTTGATCTTGACTTTGATGCTATTCTTGCTGCCATGTATGATGTGACTATTAGTGAGGAGGGTGACTGTTACCGGTGTTTCCCGCCCGACCCAGGCATTGGTACTGCGGCTCTAGGTGCTGTTGAGGCTGCTGCTCCAGGTGCTGGTGAGGCTGTCGCTCTAGGTGCCAGTGAGTCTGTGTCCTCAGGTGCTGGTGAGTCTGCTCTCTCAGGTACTGCGTCGGCTCCGCCCTCTCTCACCTTCACTCTTGACTCAGGGGCGTCTCGCTCCTTCTTTCGAGACCGCACCACACTCACACCGCTTAGTCGGCCAGTGGCGGTCTCCCTGGCGGACCCCTCTGGGGGTCCTGTTCTGGCTCGCTACTCCACTGTCCTGCCGTGCCCTGCGGTCCCGTCTGGCGCTCTGTCCGGTCTCTACCTCCCCTCGTTCTCTACGAACTTGATGGCGGGTGCTGACCTACAGGATGCGGGGGTCGACCAGTTCACCCCTGCACGCCGACGGGACACCCACTGCACGGACGCGGATACGGGTCGACACTTGACCACGTTCAGACGTGGGCCGGGGTCGAGCCTGTACACACTCACTGTTCCGTCTCCT